AACTGCAAGGAAAGAAACTTCTGAAATTGCTCAGCCAAAATACTAAGATCAATAATAGAGCCTGAATAAGCTATTGCTGCGGTATTATGATATGGCGGTTTATGAGCATTAGATTGTAGATCGATAATAAAGCTTGAATAAGCTATTGCTACGGTATTATGATATGGTGGTTTATAAGCCTAAGGTAGTCTATGAGCATTAGATTGTAATTGGTTGTAACGCTTTCAAGCTTGATTAAATTGTCTCAAATTAGGACACTGACCCTTCTAATGACTTTTTTGCTTACAGAAACTGCACTCGTCAAAGTCAACCCTTATATAAGGCTTAATGATGGTGATTGAAGAATTGCTTAAAGGATATTGCTAGTACAGAAGGATTCAAAATAGAAAGAATATCCTTTTCAAAATACGACTGAAGACATATTTCTTCAGCTAATAACTCACTAACAACTAGTCAACAGAAGGTAGTGGAGAACAATGCAGTATTTAATCTCTAAGTCCTTCAAAATCACAACAAAATACTGTTAAAGATTATACCAATCATTGCTACTTTCTACGTTCAATACAAGCACTATGTGCTTTTAATTCTACAGCTTCTGTTAGAGCCAATTGATCCTAAAGATCTGTCAAGATATAATGAAACTCCTGAATACTCATATTCTTCTGATAAAGAGCTCGTATGTCATTCTATCTAATACTATTTTGTAAAATTTGATTGCATAAATAACCATTATAGATGATCCCAAACCTCCTTTATTGTCTCATACTTCGCCAACTGCATACCTATAGAATGCTCAACAGAATTGTTGATCCAAGTAATGATCTTTGTATTGTTTATTTCTCATGCATCTATCGAAGCAGTATCTCCTTCTTCAGTATTCTTGAGTACTACATAAGTTCCACTGACATGTCCCCGTATCTTCTTACCTTTAAAAAAATTTCTCATTATATAGCTCCAATATGAATAGTTCTTCCCATCCAACCTCACATTCACATACCGAAGTGAAACATCTCTTTTAATAATCATAATCAACAATCATAGAGAACCAGAATGCAAAAGTAGTAAAAAATAAAATACCAAATTGCAGAAAATAAACAGAGATTACAGAAACTAAACAAATATCTTTTTGAAATTATACAATTAATCCAAAACACAAAAAAAAAATTACAGATACTGAACGCAAATACCAAATTGCAGAAGCTGAAGGGAAGATAAATACCAAAATAATTATAAAAACTCAATGCAAATACCAAATTGCAGAAGATGAAGGAAAGACGAAATACCAAAATAATTACAAAAACTGATAAAATACCAAGTTTTGTAGAAATAGAAGACAAAATATCACTCCAAAAAAATTAAGATCAAACACACAAAAAAAAAATAGAATTCTCAATAATCTGTTTATTATGAGTACTTAGAATTAACCTAAATACAAAAAATATATATATAAGTTAAACTAAAAATATTATTTTATTCTTAATAAATAAATCTATATAAATATTATTTAATAGAATAGATTATTGCATACACATTAATGCTCAACATTTTTATATATAACTCCATGTCATTATGTACATTTGATACTTAGAATTAGTACTGTAAAAGTAAGGAATTGTCTGCAGGGAAAAAAGAAGAAGAAGGAAATGAAATCTATGTGGGCATAACCAACAATTCAAGATATTAATATACTGGATTAGCCAACAATTCAAGATATTAATATACTGGATCTGTTTATTTTTATTTATTTTTACTGAAAACATATCAATGCATTTGATTTTGTGGATTAGTTCAAGGGTATGATGATTTGCATATATGTCGATTCAAACTACTATCCACCTCAAAAAATAAAAACTTTTTTATAATCAAGTATTTGTGGAAGCTGTGTGTATGTCATGAAGAATAATGTCTTTTTAATAGTGTTTTTATTTAAAAATATATTAAAATAATTTTTTTATTTTTAACTTTGTTATATCAAAATTATTAAAAAACATTAAAAAATATTAATTTAATTTTTTTCAAATCAAATACACCCAACATAAAAACAAACAGTGTGTAAATACGGAATGGATTTAAACAACGAGTGTCCTAACCATTAGAAAATGTTGTTTCCATTGGAGGAGAACCATGAAAACATATAATCCTGGTAGAAATTGGAATGATAATAATTTGTTCATTGGATGAATGTATACAGAGAAAAGCTGCTTTTGATTTTCTATTATGATTGATATATATATTATTGTAACAGAAACTTTCCATTTTCTTAATTTTTGTGTCATAATCGTTTCCTGCCCATCGAGGCATGGCATCTCGTGTTGTCAGTCACATGGTAACCTCAACGTCTAAAAGAGTGCGAAAGCTGCATTGAATGAGATAACATGGAGCCCCCCGGCAAGCTCATGTGAAGACGAGCACATCACCTGCATTTTCCGGCTTGATTTCGAAGGACAAAGATGGTGAACTCCAGATCAGAGGCATGTGAGTTTCCTATCTGTGCAAGAATGCTAGCTGCACAGAGAAAAGTGCTCACTGCCGTAGCTCTTTTCCTTAATCTCTCGTTTACTGGGCTAGGGTTCTTCTTCAATAATAATTTCCTTCTTCTCTTCATCTTGCGAATTACTGCAGCATTTTAACTCTACCAAGATCCCTTTCGTCATATATGGAGCCGTTAATTATTTGAGGGGAAAGAACAAGATTTTCTTGATATAAAAAAAAAACAAAATAAACAAAATGAGAGAGAATATTAAGAGATTTTGTGTTAGAACAAATGATACGACGAAGGAGGAAATAGAAATGGGAAGAAACGTAAATTGAACTGAAAACAAGAGATTGAAGTGATATTATTAACTGCTAAGTTATGGCTTTGGTTGGATCGAGAGTTTATTGCAAGTTTGTAACGTGCATGACACTTATTGTAGGAAGGGTCTGAAAAGATGCTACGTATGGGAGAAAGGAAATCCCTACTCGCACAGAAATAGGAAATTACTAGCGAGTTGGCCTCTGTCTCTACGCGGGTCAGATAAAAAAGAAATGTATAGATACTATCAATACGTTTTTTCTAGGGCCTAAAAAAAAATTAATTGTAAATTAAACTTTTTATTTAAGTAGAGTGATAATTGAAGAAATTTTGAAACAAAATGATTTGGTAGTATACTTTCCTCTTTTCTTCTTATTATTATTATTATTCTATATTTTTTATTGAATAAAAATCAAAAGAAATAAGAACAAATATAAAAAAAAAATTAGACCATTTAGAATAAAAATAAAAAATGTATATCTCTAATTAAAACTCTATTATCTTATCAAAGATGTCTCTCTTTATATATATATATATATATATATATATATATATTCAACTTAAGTTAACTCATAATCCAAGTTATAAAATTTTAATTTATTTTTTATTTAATTACAGGATAATAAAAATAAACATGATCGCAAAACTTATTGAATAAAATTTAACAAAAAAATTATAAAATTTATCCCAATAGAATATTGCTATCATTCTAAAAATGCACAAAAAGAGCATTTGTTAATGTCATAAAAAGAATTTTATAATCTTATTGAAAAAAAAAGTAAAAATTAAATGATATTTAATTAATAAGCATTTGCTAATGTCAAAAAAAGAATGCCATAATCTCATTATAAAGCAAAGTAAAAAATAAATAATATTTAATATAATGATATCCAAAATAGATTTCTAAGCAATTTATTTCAATGAACAATAATAAAGATTGATAAGAAAAAAAACAAAGGCTAAAAAGAGGTATGCAACTAGCCTTTTATAAAAAAATAAAAAAAAAATGTAACATGTAACGTGTTATCTGCAGTTGTAGAAAATAGATCATTTGCTTACCTAGATTTCAATCATACTTGAGTGATTAAAAAATCGAGTTGAGGTTTTTTGGATCTAAAAATTATTTTGTCCAACCTATTCTCACATATTAAGCTCTCATGCAATCTCAATAATTAATTTATCAACTCAAAATATATATTTAAAAACACAAAATTAAATTAAAAAAATTTTATTTTAAACAGTTATATTAAAACTTAAAAACACCTCAATAATAATCATCTTATCAAGAGAAATACATTAACACCAAATTAGGATCCTTTTGCCTTTAAAATATGTTCAATTCATCGCTTTCTCTCTCTTCCAGTATTTTTTGGTGGCTCTCTCTTCCAGCATTTCTAAAATGGAATTATATATTTATATGCTCTTTAAGCCGAATGAAAGTGTGATCCAAAAAGTCAGCTGATTTGTTGTCATGTCCTTTTCTCGCTAATTTCTTACATGCTAATTATAGATAAAAGGCCTCCTAATTTCTTACAATCCTCTCCCTTACATCTCTCCCACACTAGTTGAACTCAAAGCTAGGAGGATTTCATGACTTTCCACCCCTTTTATAAACCTTGTGAAAACCACATTCTGAATTTATTATTGAGCGTGTGATTAACAATGCGACTGTCAAGATTTAAAATTTAAGAACTCAATTTATTTGATGGCTTGTGATGATGCTGGAACACAACTAGATTGGTTATTTCTTTTGTACGAAATTGGAGATCTTGAGGTCTGTATTCAGAGCGCGCATGGTTAGAAGTTCCATGCAAATCTCTCATGATCCAAGAGAAATAAAAGAGAACAGTCAAGTTCAGAAGTGGAAACTAACCAGATTTATCCCTTGGAGGGGGATAAGAACCAATAATCTAGCAGCGTGGTAGAAGAAATGGCACAGAAATTCATCTTCACTACTGCTAAAATGGCGACACGTGAAAACAAAAATGTATAATTTGAGAGAAGACACTAGACAGCCACACTTGAAAAAAGAGACAAATCATCATTACTGTCGGAATGGAATGGTTATATATGATTTAAAAATAAAAAAAAAACACCCCATTACCCTAGTAAAGTTGCAGACGAATCGATCTTGACTGTTGGAACGTTATTTTTTGTGACGTTTTGCATGGCCAGAAGTTTGTGTACACTGCAGCAGCAAATCTTCACTGATAAATTTGATGGTTTTATAACTATAATTTCTGCCCCTGGACAACAAGAGGGGGAGATGGACATGAATGGTTTCCAAAATCTTGTCTCTTTAATTAACACCATGTACTAGGCATGTGAGGTGTTGGATTTCCCCTTTGATTTCAAATCGGAAACTCGGGGATCCATGGTGCATGATTAAGACAAATGATGATATAAAAGATTATGCTTTTGGAAAACAGTTTCTACTGTGTAACTTGCAGGTCCAAGGAGGGAATATAACACCTCGTGTCCCATGCATGTCGCTTCCTTTTATTGTAATCTTTCCAAGCTATGGCCAGAGTTTTTATGCGGAAGAATACCTACAATAACTAGAAGGAATTAAAACAGGAAAAATAATAATAATAATAATAATAACCTTTAGAGACAAAATGTTAAAGAATTAAAAGCAAAGAAAGGGAAAAGTTAAGAAGAAAAGAGAATTCAAGAGGAAAAGTATAACCTTAAAACATACAATTATTAGGTTCAACTCATCAATTAAAATTATCTGATATAAATAACTCAAATAAATAACATAAAACAATTAAATAAGCTCAAAACAATTAAATAAGCTCAAATGAACTCAGTCTCCCAACCAAAAATAAAACAGGTTGAGCTACCTCCATCATCGATTATCATACATGTGCGTAAATAGTGTCTCGGATCTTATGTTCCATCAGTTTTCCACTCCAAGGCCCAGCTAGGCACGGATGGGGGTCCCGTCCAGTTGAAGTAAAGACAGAAGGATGCAGTCAGTCCAGGAAATAAGCTTTATTAACTGAGACTGAAAAAAAAAAAAAATAGGATGATGAGAGCAAACTCCTTTCGAGGCAATATTTCTTAATGATGAACAAATAATGGTGCAAAAAATTCCGAAAGAATTTAACTCACTGCGGTCATTTGTACAGTTGTATACATACCATCATGTTGATTCAACTTTCAGTTCCTTACTTGTAGGGTCAGTAGCATCCTTTGCATCTGGGAGGCTCTTTAACACCTGTGTGACAAGAAAATTGATGTCAGCAACATCACCAACAACAGCAGTAAATGTGAAAGAAGATTCACGGATATTTACTTGGTATAGTTGCCAAGAAGCAAAAGCATCAGTAGCAGCATATTGTAGTTGTTCTTTTGATAGAACATCAACTTGCCAGTTTCCAAGTCTGATTTTGTTGGGCTTTTGAAGCTGCAGAGTTTCAACAACTTTTTTAGAATTTCTGAGAAACACAGCAACGTAACTCGAGAAAATTAAATGCCAAGTAAACTGCATTGTAAATAAAGGGCTTGTTTATGACCATGAGAAAGTGGTATTGGATCAATGTCAACCAGAAAAACCCCAAACAAAGGTCAGATGGGGAAAATAGAAGACCAGAAGAGGATAAAACAAAAATGAGAAAGCAGGAAGACCTGTAGAGGTAGGGTAACCCCATAACGTTTTTATTTGAAGAACAATTATATGGATGAAAGAAGAATGTGCATGTAACATTCAGCCGATATATGTGTGTTCTAGACAGGGTACAATGCCCTGTAGTTCTTAAATCTTTAGTGATGCGTTGCATAGACTATGCATAAGAAATACAATCAAAGCTTTTCCTTTCTGTTTCATATTTATTTCCCCTTATGGAGAAGGCAACAAAATTTGCTACCAGAAATGCATAGGATCTGTATCTGCTGACCTATAAAGAGAAGTTTGGATTTATCACTATAATAGGCTGATCCAACACAGCCAAAGCACAGTATGGGCATCAATTTGCGCTCCCAAAATTTTAAAACTGTTGATGATCCAGGGAGAGTCCAGTGATTTGATAAAATTGTAAGACAAACATAATCAATAAGGAATACCTTTGAAAATATATTACTCAAAGAATACTCGGTAGGCATCCAGTGAAATGTAATGGATACCTCTTTGCAAACAAGAATCTTTGCCAGAGCTTGAAGACCCCATGTTTTAGGTTTTCCATCAAGCTTTTGATTTGCAAGATAAGAAAGGTCCTCCACTGATTTAACTGAGACATTATAATCTCTGAAAACCTTAGCACAGTCACCACCTATGCCAATTCCAACCTGAACATATGCCACACATTTAATGTAGACAATTAAATCTGTCATGAAAAAACGGGGAAAGAAACCAAATGTAAGAGAAAATACAGAAGGAAGCCAGTGCAAGATCTCACTAACTTTTACAAGTTTAGAATCCTCTAGAAGAAACTGCAGGCTTTGAGTGATTCCAGAATGAAAAATATGCATCACATGACAAAGACTAGTGTTCGCACATATCTGCATAACTGCAGCCTTTCCAGGCAACACGCCTGCAGATTCCAAGATTATCCATGAAAAATATATTTCATGAAGGGAGAGGCAGTATGGGAAGGGACACGCTTGCAGAGAACAAGATTTTGATTCATTTTTCATTAATTTAGTTTAAGTAGTACAACAAAATGCTGTGGAACCCTACCTTTCTCTTCCAGAAGCACTGGGAAATCAAGAAAGAAAAAACTAAAATTCTAAGTAATAATACTCTGGTTGTAAGAAAATGGGGTACATAACATAAGGTTGAAATGAAAAGCAAAAGTCAACTGCATTTATTTGATGCCATGATGCCACGTAACAGTAGCTTGGTTGGTTATGAGTTTTATGGTTCTGGTGTATACTGAAGGTGTTTATACCAAGCTACAATCTATGATAAAAATTGAGCATCAACAAAGAACAAGATTGCAGCATATGAATAACAGATAAATTTCCATCAAGCAAAAGAGGAAGTGGCAAATGGAATAGTAAACATACATAGTCTACAACTATAAAATCCATAGGAGAATAAATTTAAGCATACAACAATCAATAAGCCTAATCAGTTTGTAATCAAAGTTCACATTCCCAAGGATCTCCTCCGACTCCAAGGAAGCTGCAGGATAAAACATTAAACAAGACGAAAATGTTCCCATAGATTTGATGAATCAAAATTGCATAAGCATAATTGAGAGAGAGAGAAAACACAAAATCAGTGGACATTTAATGTAGACAATTAAATCTGTCATAAAAAACTGGGAAAGAAACCAAATGTAAAAGAAAATACAGAAGCCAGTGCAAGATCTCACTAACTTTTACAAGTTTAGAATCCTCTAGAAGAAACTGCAGGCTTTGAGTGATTCCAGAATGAAAAATATGCATCACATGACAAAGACTAGTGTTCGCACATATCTGCATAACTGCAGCCTTTCCAGGCAACACGCCTGCAGATTCCAAGATTATCCATGAAAAATATATTTCATGAAGGGAGAGGCAGTATGGGAAGGGACACGCTTGCAGAGAACAAGATTTTGATTCATTTTTCATTAATTTAGTTTAAGTAGTACAACAAAATGCTGTGGAACCCTACCTTTCTCTTCCAGAAGCTCTGGGAAATCAAGAAAGAAAAAACTAATATTCTAAGTAATAAAACTCTGGTTGTAAGAAAATAGGGTACATAACATAAGGTTGAAATGAAAGAGCAAAGTCAACTGCATTTATTTGATGCCATGCAGCAACGCAACAGTAGCTTGGTTGGTCATGAGTTTTATGTTTCTGGTGTATACTGAAGGTGTTTATACCAAGCTACAATCCATGATAAAAATTGAGCATCAACAAAGAACAAGTTTGCAGCATATGAATAAGAGATAAATTTCCATTAAGCAAGAGAGGAAGTGGCAAATGGAATATGGAATAGTAAACATACATAGTCTACAACTATAATATCCATAGGAGAATAAATTTAAGCATACAATAATCAATAAGCCTAATCAGTTTGTAATTAAAGTTCACATTCCCAAAGATCTCCTCCGACTCCAAGGAAGCTGCAGGATAAAACATTAAACAAGAAGAAAATGTTCCCATAGATTTGATGAATCATTATTGCATAAGCATTATTAAGAGAGAGAGAAAACACAAAATCAGTGACAAGGATGTTTAAAAGAAAACGGAAAGAAAAACAGGCAAATTCAATTGTTCCCTGAGTAAATCTAAAATTAAAAGTGAAAAAGCTTCTATAGAGTAAGAGAATGTGCATTTTATCTTGTAATTCCCTTTTTCCAAAACAGAATATTTACAACACTGCCAGCTTGGAGTGCTTGTTATGGCAGAGCATAATGCATCATCATAGGTTTATCAGAACTCAAACAACATGAATCCATGAACTTGCTTGGATAGACCTGGCTTAAATTGACGAAAACAACTACCAAAGTGAGTAACAAACAAACCTGTTGTAAATGAGGGCTTCCACTCAATATCAAAACCAATGACAACTCGATCTCTTTCTCTCTTTTCAGCTTCAAGACTCTGTAAAAGCTCCCTTGCAGCTTTTTCAACCTCTATAGAAGTTCTGCTATACAAAATTTGACCCCCAAACTTCATTGCCGGGTATCTCATCTTCACATTACCTGCTTACACAAAACACAACAAACACATTGCCGTCCCACAAAATAATCAACTTGAGTTCCAATTGAGGTTAAGGGAAAAAAAAATCGTGTCAGTTAAAGCTTACTGAAAAGTTTAAAGCTTTGTAGCAAATTATGGACCTCAGTGACAATTCAGAAGCAATTACTGAAAAGTTTAAAGCTTTGTACCAAATTATGGACCTCAGTGAAAATTCATAAGCAATGCTCATAGAAGAGGGAGCTTCCATACATTATTGAATTAGAATATGAGCAATGATAATATGTAAACATAAATTTGGTTAAAATTATATCAACATAACCCACATTGAAATCATTACATTAACATAATCAGCTGCCAAAAATGAAGTACTGCATCATTTCTAAATCCTAAATTCTATTTATTTCTTAGTAAACCTTAACTATCACACGAACCTTACAGCAATGGACTGCAAACATCTAAAAGGAGAAACCATAGCCCAGAATGTTTTTACAGAAATCGAAAAACGGGTTTTAGAAAGAAAAGAAATTCAATTATAAATGAGATTAAAAGAAAAAAGAGAAGAAAAGATGGGCCTAAAGAAGTTACCTTGACAAGGAGAAAGAGAAAAAGGTTTGGAGAGAGAGAAAATAGAATTGGGCAATTGGCGTCGGGTTTTTGGAGGTTCTTGATCCTTTTGTGGACTTGAATGTCGTTTGTTGATTATAGAAGAGGAAGGAGTTGTTGCAGCAGGAGTTGATGATGATGAAGATGAAGATGGTGTGGAGGATTGAAATGAGGCTTCGATTGCATCAATGGCTTCAAGTTCTTGGTCTGTCAGAGGCTCGTCCCAATCTAGGATTGGACTCCAATTTATTTTGCCGTTGTTGTTAGTCTCATGTTGTCTGGAATTCATGGGACTTTCTGCTGTTAGTTCACCCCTGCTAAACAACATACAAGGAAGGTAAATTGTTTATTGTTGGTCTTCCTTATAGAATGGATGATCGTTATACGAGGCAAGTTTAGTTCTTCTAAACTAAAATATATTTTTATATTTATTTTTTAAAATATTAATAATATATCTTCCATTATAATATTTAATATTAAAATAAATAAATTAATTTTTTTATCTCTAAAAAATTTAAGTTAACTTCTCGTGATTTTAATAAATTTATTTCTTTGATTTTTTTATATGCTAAATCATATAATGTATTTGTTATATATTTTTATATTTTTGTATTAAAAATGCAAACATGATTGTTTATTTTTTTAAAGAAACTTAGTCATAAATAATTTAAATCATAAATCTATATTTTAAAAAAAATTATAATGTTTTTATATTTTTTTTAATTTGATTAACTTAATACTAATAACGTGTCTTAAATATAAATTTATAATATTAAATATTAAATATAAAAATGACGTGGAAGCATAAAAATCAATTACAAAATGATCCTTAAAAAAATTAAACTTTAATTAAAATTAAAGTAAGACAATATTTAACAAAGTATAATAATATATTTTAATAACCAAGATATAATTTCAAAACAAACTATTTATTTATTATTAACCAACATAATAATTCAACAATATAAAAAATCAACACAAATCTTATTAGTTTCTACATTCAAATTTCATATTAATTCAAACGAAATAGACACAAAACAAAGTATAATTTATAAAATAATATTTAATATTTAAATCAATATAAATTCAAGTATAGTCAATTATCCAATATTTAATATAATTAATAAACTAATATTTAATATTCAATTAACAATCACAACCCTAAAAATAAATTCAGAACACAAATTATCAATTAATCTCATAGTAAAAACACATATCAATCCAAATAAATAATTTCCAAAGCTGTATTGGACAACATGCCTTAGGTGTGCACCCCGTGCACATTTAACACTGACACTCGTTTCTGCTCAAGAAAGGAGATTTGGCCTTCGGAAGCTTCGATCCTCTTGGGTTTTTTTTCCTTCTCCTTCAGCTCTCTTTACCGTTTCTTGCTGCTATCGATCATCATCGTCATTTGTGGCTGAGTTGGGATGTTGTGGTCTTTGGTCAGGTGAAGGCTATTTGTGGTGCGACCTCACGACGACTGGCGGAGAGAAGAGCAGGGTGGAGATGGGTTTTCTATGCTGACAGTGGTGAATGAGGGAAGAAACAATGGTGAGCTAATCAGTTATGGGTTGATTGGGTAGAGCCAGAGCCGCGGATGGGTTGAACGGTGTTGTTGGCTGTTAAAGGTGGAGGAGGGCTATCGGGTGGAGGAGCTGGCAAGTTTTTGATGACACAGTGATAAGAAAGACAAATGAAAAGGAAGGGCTTGGATGTTGCTTGCGGCTGGAAATAGTGGCTTGTGTTGCGAGTCGGATAAAGAAGAAGTGGGTTTTTGGACGAAGAGGGTCTGTTAGCCATCAGTTAAGCCTAATAAGAGGTTGACAGCCATGGGTGATGGTTCTGGTGTCGCCGCTGCCTCTCGAAGGAATCACTCTTCACTCTTCACTGTTTAAGGTGATGGTTCTGGTGTCGCCGCTGCCTCTTGAAGGAATCACTCTTCACTCTTCACTCTTCACTCTTCACTGTTTACTGTTTACTGTTCACGTTGATAAGGATAAAGATAAACCTCAGCATGCAGAGGCTGTTGAAAGACATATCTAGTGCAATTGTATTAGAACTCTGATTCCTGCTTATCCTTGGCTTCCCGTTTGTATCAAAACACTTGTAATTAACGATGAATATCCTGTAACAACTTTGATATATATATGGCTGAGAGAACATAGTTTCTCTCAAGCATTTACAGAAGTATTTTAAATTCTTTCATGGTATCAGAGTAGCTCATAACTAACGCTTTTAACGATTCTATAGCTGCTGTAACAAATTCTTCATTGTCTTCCGCTGCATTTCATCTTCCAGCTCAAGTGATTTCCATCAAAATTGATGGAACTAACTTTCTTGCCTGGTCTGCTCAATTGCTTCCTCTGTTTCGGAGTTATGGACACGTGGGAATCATTGATGGTTCTGATTCCTGTCCTCCTCAATTTACCTACGAAGAACACAAGGCTCAAAGGATTCTTAATACTGCTTATCTAACTTGGCAGTATAAGAAACAAACCTTACTTGGGTGGATTATTTCTTCATTATCTCCCACGGTGGTCTCTACTATTTATGGCCTTGAGACTTCTAAACTTGCTTGGCAAGCCCTTGGTGCACGTTTTGCTGCACCCTCAACTTCTCGCATTTCTCTTATCAAGAGAAAATTACAGTCTTTACAGCAAGGTTCCCTATCCTGTCAGAATTTTTTGGATGAAGTTAAAAATCTTGCTGACGAACTCTCTGCTATTGGGAAACCAATTGCTGATTCTGATTTAATCTTATATGTTCTCAATGGTCTTAATTCTTCATTTCATTCCTTTGTCACTACATATATGCTTCTTTCTAGAGAGAAATCTATGCCCTTTTCAGATTTCCATGCAGAACTGTTGAACTATAATCTCATGCAACACTTTCATAGCCACTTTATTCAATCTGAGGCTGGTTCTTATGCTCTTTACTCGCATAAACCTGGCTCCAAAATAGGCTCTCGCAACAACAGTGCTAAATCTCGCTTCTCAGGAATGCCTAAAGGCTCAGGTGGTGTTTCTTCACAGTTTAGGCAGCCATTACCTCACTTACCTCGTACATCTTCAGGCTCGTCTTCTGAAAATCGCTCTTGCTCACCATGCCAAATCTGTAAGCATGAGGGGCATCAGGCTTTGGATTGTTTCAATCGAATGAATTATTCATTTCAGGACCGACATCCTCCTACAGAATTAGCTGCCATGGTTGCGGAATCTAATACCACTTATCTAAATGAAAATCAATGGCATGCAGATAGTGGTGCAAATCTTCATGTTACCTCCGATGTCACTAATCTTGCATCCTCTCAACCATATGAAGGGGATGATTCGGTTGGGGTAGGCAATGGAACAGGTTTGCCCATATCCTGTATTGGCAATGCTTCAATTAAAACCTTGTCTTCTACTCTTGCTTTAAATAATATTGCCTACTGTCCTGAAGCCTCTGCTAACCTTTTCTCTATCAATAAATTTTGTAACGATAATAATATTATGTTTGAACTCACTAGTTCTAATTTCTATGTGAAGGACATCCTAACGGCGGATACATTTCTGACGGGACCAAGTAATAATAGATTGTATCCTATCAACCTTTGTCAACTTTTTTCTTCCTCATACAGTGCTCTCAACTGTTGGAGTCAAGGTTTCTTCCTCCACTTGACATTGTTGTTTGGATCATCCTTCCACGGGTATTTTTCATCGTGTCATTTTTAATTTTTCTCTTCCAGTTAGTGATTCCATCAATAAAAAGATTGTATGTGTATCTTGTCAATTAGGTAGATCTAGACAATTACCTTTCTCGGATTCTTTAAGAGAATCTATCGCTACCCTTAAAATAATCCATTCTAATGTCTGGTCTACTTCAACTCCTTCTCTGAGTGGTTATTGCTACTATGTTATTTTTATTGATGATTTTACTCATTTTTGTTAGATGTTTCCTATTTCAAATAAATCCAATGTTTATTCTATCTTTGTTAAATTCAAATTTTTAGTGGAAAAACAATTTAAGTCCACCATCCAAAAATTTCAAAGTGATAATAGTGGTGAATATTGTTCTACCCTATTTAAACAATTTTTTATTGACAATGGTATTTTTCATCGACTGTCTTGTCCATATACATCTCAACAAAATGGTCTCGCTGAAAGAAAACATCGTCATATTGCTCAGTTTGGCCTATCTAAGAAATTTTAGGTTGATGCTTTCCTAACTGCTATTTACATAATTAATCTATTACCTATCAAAGTTCTTGATTATTTATCACCATATGAACGTCTTTTTAACCATCCACCTCATTTCACCTATTTTTGAGCATTTGGATGTCAATGTTTTCCATGTCTTCGTCCTTACACATCTGATAAATTATCATATAGTAGCACACCTTGTATTTTCATTGGTTATAGTCCTCATCACAAAGGCTTTCATTGTTTAAACCCTTCATCCAGACGTGTCTACATATCTTGTAATTTTTAACGAAGAAAAATTTCCAACACAGTCCATTCTCCTAAATCCTGTCAGTTGCATTCCTTCCTCAGCTAAGACTCCAGGTTTGTCCTTCACTCTTCCCTCACATATTTCCTGCTCATCATCTGATCTTTCTCCTCCCTCTGTCTCTTTTTTACCACAATCATCTCTTGCATATGGTTTACCCGTCCTTGCGACATCTTCACCTGTGTTAGTTCCTAATCCCTCTGTTGGTTCTCAGGATAGTGCACAACTTAATCTTCAAGCTGTAGCTCTCTCCCCTTTTAAGTCTTCTTTTCAAATTATCACCAGATCACAAACTGCATTGCATGCAGGTTTGGTTTCTCCTGAGCCACGTACCTATTCATAAGCGGTATCAATACCCGAATGGTATGCAGCAATGGATAATGAATTTCAGTCCTTATTAAAAAATGAAACTTGGTCATTGTGCTCTCTTCCTCCTGACTAGAATGTAGTTCCTTGTAAATGGGTTTTTAAACTCAAAAGGCGACCTGATGGCAGTATTGAACATCACAAGGCTAGGCTAGTAGCTATTGGTTATCTACAGAAGAGTGGGATTGATTTTCTTGAAACATTCAGCCTAGTCATCAAACCTTCAACTGTCTGCATGGTTCTTGCTCTTTCCATTTCTTTTCAATGGGACATTCAGCAGCTTGATGTTTCTAATGCTTTCCTTCATAACTTACTAGAAGAGGAAGTTTATATGTCCCAGCCTAAGGGTTTTATGGATCCTATACACCTCCATTTTGTCTGTAAGCTTCATAAATCCATCTACGGGTTAAAACAAGCTCCTCACGCCTAGTTCCATCGTTTGTCCACTACTTTGTTGGCTCTCGGTTTTCACAATTCCCAGGTTGATCCTTCGTTATTTACCTAT